CAATGATGAAAACAAAACCTCAGCATAGTCAGAGAGCTCAAAGGGAGTGAGGAAGAATTAAATGTATGTTTGTAATCTACATTCCATCTATGCTCTGAAGATTGGGGTGTTTTTTTTTTGGTGGAAAGATGCACTTAAGATGACACTGCAAATGTGTACCCAAGAAATAGTATCAAATAAAAAATAATGTTTTAAGTTATCTAATTTGCCAAGAAAAAGCAAAAATACCAGTTTATCTCCAGACTGTTGGAACAGAGGAGGTTTTCTCCTTTAGTGGTCTAAACTACAGATGTTTGCCTCTCGGTTGTGGGTGTGCAGGCATGCACTCCGCACTCCGGGGCGCAGCTCAGGTTGTCTTATCACAGGTGGTCTCTTATGTTAATGACATTAGCAGTCAGCCCTGTCACCCATCCCCTGTGATCTGGCTCATGACTCCCTGGGCCTCACTTGCCCAGGGGATGCACAAGGGGCCGCACTAGATGACCTCAAGGTCTTTCGTCTGGCTCCAAAGTTTAGGTGGAAGAACCAGGTTGGTGTGGAGGTGTGTACCGGGCACACAGGGTCAGCCAGGGGAGGCCTTGGTTTCATGATCCCCCACTTACTGTCATGTCTCAGGAGTGAGAATCAGATGGGTGGCGTGGTGCAGGGAACAGAGAACTAGATGCAAACAGGTGTGGGCTATAGCAGGATTTATGGGCTCAGCCTTCGAAAATCCCAGAGATGGCAGACATCTGGGCCAACCACAGCCCACTCCTGTAGCTGGGGGCGGTGTCAGGCCCTCGGAGCCACTGGGCTGGGAGATTCAGGGTCAGGTGAAGAAGGCCTGGTGGCCAGTTGCCTGTAATCTGACAGGGGCCCATTGCACGGAGAAAGTCAATCTTCTTCGGCAGCATAGGAATAATCATGTCCTCTTCCCACCTTGCCACCTTGCTGTGAGGATGAGATGGGGTCACGGGAGGCAGGGCGCCTTGGAGTCAGCAAAGCCCTGCGCAGCAGACAGCAGGAGCGGCGGGCAGCGAGGTTGTCCCTGTTATTGTTATTAATGCACCAACATTTGCTCACTGTGACGCTGGTTCTTCCAGGATGATGGAGGGCCTGGTGTCCAATATCTCAATCAAGGAAACTAAAAATGCTGTTTATTTATTGTGAAATCGATATTGCATGAAATTGATTTTTTAATTAAAACTAATTTTAATTACACAAGCAATACATCTGCGTATTCCACAGTAAGAAAATCAAGACATTAAAGACAAGCTCAAGTCCCCGCTTACCTTCCCCCAGGTTTCATCTACATAGAAAGGAGACTCACTTCAGAAAACTGTGAGGGTCCCCTTGGTTAAAAACATGTAGCCAGGCTGGGGCTGGGGCTGGGGCTGGGGCTGGGGCTTGGGCTTGGGCTGGGGCTGGGGGCAGGTCCGAGGTCCTTGCTGTAGGTTGGAGAAGGGCCGAGCCCATGGAAAGGGTCTGCTCGGGGACTTCTCGGGTGTCTCATGTCCCCACAGTGGACCCTTCAGTCCTGCGTTTTCCACTGTGTCTGCCAACATTTGTCATTATATTCTTCATAATAAGAAACTATTTCCATTGCTTCAAAAATTACTGAAAAAGGCACTGCTTTGGAGGAATTTGCCCCTAGCACTGGCTGCTTGTCTCTTAGATTATGGGAAATTTCTGGAATGGAACAGTTCAGCCTGATGCCTTTACTTTAGCAGAGGAAAAGCCAGCGCCGTGAGCTGACATAGCTAAAGTGCATGCCCTTCTCCAGCTCCGAGGGGTGCAGTCCCCTGTAGAAACACCTGTCCTAAAGCCATCGAGGGTTTCTACTCCAGTAGCTTCTAAGCATTTTGGAGAATGACCCACAATAAAGAAATACATTTTACCATGGACCTCAGTATACATACATGCACACACACGCGTGCACATACAGATCGAAATAAAAATTTTACAGGATAATACATATCTTCGCTCTGTGTGATGCACTCTGATATTGCCAATCTATTTTATGCTATACAATTGCTTAAAGTGTTGTTTTCAATTCATCAAATGAGTTTTACAACCCACTTCTAGGTCACAAGGAGCCACTCGTCTGTCCTCCAGCAGAATTCCCAGTCCATGTAACGACCATCTTTGTGAAAATCCTGCGGTTTCTGCTATTTCTCTTTGCTTCCTTTTCCAAATGCCTAAAATTACACTGTTGCTGCAGGTGAGATGACATCATCGCCATCACAGTCAAAACAAATCTCTCTTTTTATAAAACTATGACTATCTGGAGGAGCTAATTGATTTGCCTAAGTGATAACACGTGCTGCGTTTATAAATAAAATTTTCCAACCAAAAGGATTTTTCATGATTCACTGATATAAATGTGTCATAGGAGACAGGAAGACTGAGTCATTTTTATAAACTTGATTATATGTGGCTCACGACCCATCTCTGCGGTTGACAGCAGGATCCCCAAACATTGTTAGCCTGGTGTTCCAGCAGGAATCCGACCGTCAGACCAACAAAATTCACAGGAGAGACATGTTTTTCCTTGCAGGACCATGACAAATCTCCTGACTCACTCTCTCTGTCCCTCACAGCCAGCAGGGGCGTTCCTGGCACCTACCAACTGTGCTCCTGCCTCAGGGCCTTTGCCCATGCCAATCCCTGTCCCTAGGATGCCTTTCCCCCAGACACCTGGCTCTCTCTTACTGCTGCGTTAAAGATGACTATTTAACAGGGACGGCAATGCCTGCGTGGCGTGGCCTTACCCAACCATTCTCAGCTTCACTCTCTTCTCCACCTACATAAGCTCCCTCAGTCACTTGTATCTCCCCTGCCCCTTTCTGCCACAGGCCCTTTGCACATGCTGTTTCTACTTCCTGGAGCCCTCTCCTCATCCTTCCAACCCCCATGGCCCCTCTCTTTGCCTAGTTAACTCCTAGGTACCCTTCAGACCTCACCTCCTCAGATGAGCCACCCCTGACCTCCCTGTGTAGGTCAGTCTCCTCCCATTCTAGACTCTCATAACTCTGTCCCTTTCCTTCCCAGCACACATGATGGTGGAAATATTCTTCTTGTTTGTGTGATTATTTGGTTAATGTCCATCTCCTCTACTGGACTCTGAGCTCCGTGATGCGTAGGGCTGGGTCTGTTTTGCTGCCTGGTATATTTTCAGGGCCTGCAACCGTGTCTAGGCCGGAGTAGGGCTCAGTAAATACTTCTGAGTAAGTTAAAATATTTAAGAGGACCTTGGAGACCTGGAAAGTGAGAGCTGAGATTGAAGACTTAACAACTGGCTTGGCAGCCGTGCCGGCTGCTCAGAACAGACCTGCCTGGCTGGAGACCAGTGACTGCTGGCCCAGCGCACGGTCAGGCCCAGCGCACAGTGGGCCTCGAGTCTCGGGCAAGTGCAGCGGCCCTCCCGCCCCGAAAGCTCACCAACAGTGAAGGGTCTCCCCCTGGGAAGTCAGACTCCAGAGTGCATTTCGGGAATGAACTTTGGAGACCAGAGCTCAAGGCAACCTCAAGGGAGACCTAAGATGATATTAAGGGCCCCAGGGTTGATGGAAGAAAAGAAAGTCTTTAAATGGCAGCACAGCTAATGATCCATTCCCAAGCCAAATACCCCCAAGTTAAACAGCAGCATAGCTTAAATATTTGTGCTTTAGCCACTTACGGAGAAATGGGACCTGGCATCCTTTTTGTTGTTGTTTAGATGTTTTTCCTCTTTTCCATATAAGTCCTAAGGGCAAAATTAGGTTATTCCTTTTCCTGAAGCCCAAAATATGACACTAAGAAGACAAAAACTTAAACTCCCCAGACTACACACAGCAACCTCTATGAAGAAAATCTTCCCTAAACAGCTTTTAGGCACAAGTTACCCTCCAGTTGTTAATATTTAAGCGATAGCATGTCAAACAGGGCAAGATCTTGTCCTGAGAAGATATACTAAGTATTCATGATATGGCAGGATATTTGTATCATGGTTATTCTAATTTCAGCACAATTTGGTAATCTGCTACAGCAAAACGGCCATGCAAAATTGCTGACTCGGAGTGTATGTACCAGGGAGTCTGATCTCAATGTCACATGTGTAAGTTCTTTCTTACAAGGGACAACCCGTCTGCTGATTCTGCTCAGTACAGGCTGTGACATTCCACGCTCCTCGGTCTCTTCTCAGCGCGCCAGCTCCACAGATCCCCGCCTCTTCCCCGGATGGCCCTCAGGGTGGGGGCCATCTCCCACGGCACCTACACGGTCAAAGGAGGAGGAAAGGGGAGACAGCCATTCTCTTCATTGTCACTTCCAAATCACCAATCTCTGACTCCCATAAAAACAGGAATAAAAAAAATTTAGGTTCTGGCATCTTTATCTGGGGAAATAATTTGGGCAAAGCAGGTTTTGTAGAGCAGAAGAGAAATACTGAATCATCTCAAGTTATAGTTTATTTTTCTTTTTTCCCTATAAATGAAATAATTTTATTATAAGTTTCCACTGGGGGAAAATCCAGCAGTAAAATTTTAGACTCTGATATGTGGAATCATATAAACTGAGGCATTAAAACATAAAAGTTGGTGTTTATGCCTGAGCTCGACCCACTGATTCATTTAGTGAAGCGGGACCATGGTCAGAGCCCACTTTCTCCACAGCCTGGAGGGCGAATCTGGTCAGTGGTCAGAATGGGAAGGGGCCTTTCCCTGGAAGTTCAAAATAGGAGACATTTTTGTCTCACTTACTAGGAAATCCTGATATACAGGCCCAGAAAACGAATTTGTGTGGTTTATTAGTCATTTAAACTTTAACATCTTCATGGAAGGTCAACTCACCAGCGTTTGAGTTCTTAATATTAATATAGGTGTAGGGTAGTAAAGAGTGTCAGATATTTTTGACCTTGACTTCCAAGAAGAAATACAAAACCAATTATATGTACAATATATATTAATTACATATTATATAAAGTATATAATTATATAAATTCTATTATATATAAAATATGATTTTATTCATGTCCATTTATATGTGTGCATATATATATATATAAGAGAGCAAGACAGAGAGAGCGAGAGAGAGAGATTTACTGTAAAGAACTGGCTCATGTGACTATCTGGAGGAGCTAACTGATTTGCCTAAGTGATAACACGTGCCGTGTGTTATCTCAGTGGAGTCTGAGAAGTCCAATGTCACAGTTGGCAAGCTGGAGAACCCAGAGAGCTGGCAGCGTAAGTTCCAGTCTGAGTCTGAGTCTGAAGGCAGAAGAAGATTGATCTTGCAGCTGAAAGACAGTCAGGGAGAGGGAGAGAACTCTCTTACTCAGTCTTTTATTCCGTTCAGACCTCCAACAGACCAGATGAGGCCCACTCCCATTGGAGAGAGCAGTCTGCTTTACTCGGTCTACTGATTCAAATGTCAATCTCATCCAGAAACACTCTCACAGACACACCCAGAAATAGTGTTTAACCAAATGTCTGGGCACCCAGTGACCCAGTCAAGTTGACTCGAAGCTAACCACCACACTCAGTGCCCCAGAATAAACACAGTTACATAGAACTAACATTTCAAGAGGTAATATGTACCCTTACTATGTATAACACACTTAATATTTTATATTTTCTTTTAGTCTGTTTCATTTGTAAATGGTGGTCAAGACCTGCTAAGTCAGTGTCATGATCTCCTAATGAGTTACTATCTGCAGTGTGGCAGATGTCCCAAATGTAGATGAAATAATTTAGGACGAATTCATTCATTTTTTTTTTTCCATTCAGTATTTATAGGTCACCTACGGAGCATCAGCAGGTGACGAAACATGGATCCTGCTGTCATGGACCTCATGGTCCAGAGTGGGGACTGATGGGAAATCCACCAGGGGCTGGACAAAGAGGGAGGCCCAGCAGCCAGCAGGACAGAGGATCCGAACCAGCCTCGTGTGGGGTGCACAGTGGAAGCAGGGCCTGGGGGGGGGCACCTGGAGGAGCTGTCTCTTAGTGAGTCTCTCATCAGAAGGAGCAAGGCACAGACAGGAAGTACTGACAGGCAGGTGTGGGGGCAAAGCTAGAGCCCCGCTGGCAGCTTTGTGGGTAGCTCTGGGAAAATTCTCAGGTAGGGCTGAAACACAACTAGAGCACACTGAAAGATAATCCATCCTCAGTATTCACAGATTCCAAATTTGTAAATTTGCCTACTCGCTAAAATGTATTTGTAACCTCAAAAATCAATACTCGAAGGTTTTTTGCGGTCACTTGCAAACAGAGCAGCAAAAACATTTGAGTTGCCCAAAGAGCTTATTCCCAGCTGAGGTTGAACAAGGTGGCGCTTTGCCTTGTTTCAGTTCTTGTACTGTAAACAAGTGCTCTTTTTGTGGTGTATTTAGTGCTACATTTTTTTTTTTTTGCATTTTTATACCTTTTATTGGCGATTTTGCTGTTTAAAATGGGCCCCACGAGTGCAATGCAGTGCCGCCTGGTGTTCCTGAGTGCGGAAGGCTGGGCTGTGCCTTGCAGAGAAGGGTGGGTTAGACCAGCGTGGCTGAGGCACGAGTTGCAGCGCTGCTGGCCGTGAGTTCAATGCTAATGAACCAACAATGTATAGTAAATAAAGTGCCTTTAAACAGAAACACACATAAAACAAGGGTACGTATTGATCAGTTCATGAAAATATTGTTGACCACAGGCTCATGGGGACCTCACCCTGTTGCTTCCCAGGGGAGCGGTGGCTCAGTGTTTGCTAATTCAGTGTTTGCAGTGACTTTATAGAACATAACAACTGTGAATAACGAGAATAGGTTGTACTTATTAGGGTAAAGAGAATCTTTCTGCAGTTTGCTGCTACAGAGCCTGGCTATTTGTACACTGCGGGGTGGGGGCCCGAGGGTTGCCGTTGGTGGTTGTCAGGTGGGATTCCTGTGTGCAGTTGGCCAAGATGGGCAGGTAGCATGGCCATCTGTCCTGGTATGTGACAAGCGCTCGGTGCCAGGGCCCTAATGGCCATTAATTTAATCGAGAGGTGGTTGGAAGCGGTGGATGGGACTCCCCATGTCCATCATGGCTCAGATAGGAGCACTGCTTAGGCAGTGACAGCTGTGCCGAACGACAGACGATGCCACCAACGTTTAAAAACTGACAGATCACTCAACACGTTACTGAAATAATATAAGTGACTGGTGCTTCAGCTTACATTTCTTTCAGTTAAAAAGCATTTTTTCTTGGAGTTTACTTAGAAAATGAAACCAAATTTATTTTAAAATTTATTTTGCTATATTGGTTACTATTTTGATTATCACTGCGAAGATCCAGGCTTACTACATTTCTTAGCTCTGTGACCTGGGTGGAGAGTTTGGCTGCACGGGGTGGGCAGGGAGCTTAGGCCGGGGGCACGGAGGATGGTGTCGGCCGATGAAAGGGCCGAGGTTTGGGGAGGAAACAGTGAGATTCAGGAATGGAGGCAGCAGGGTTTTAGACAGCTTGCTGTGACTTCTCTGGAAAGGGAATGGCTATTGTAGGGAAGGCTGACCAGGAGGGAGACAGGACTTTACCCTTTTTTATCCCAAATACACTGCACAGCACAGCAAGGTGGTCACGCGTGTAGCCTCTATCCAAGTTCAAGTCCTGACTCTGCCCCTCACGAGCTGTGATCGCTAAGGAACGCATTGAACCTGTGTCTTACCCACCTCATAGGGTGTTGGGAGGATCACAAATTAGTAGCAGGAACACAGCTGGCACTCGGTGGATCTTTGACAGCCCTGGGGTGACATCATCATTCTTAGCAAACCCTGCCAGCTCTACCTCCAAAATAGATCAAGAGTACAGCCATGTGGCTACCCTTTGGTTCAAGCCACCATCATCTCCAGCTTGGACCACTGCAGTAGCCTCCCTGCCAGTCACTCTGCCCCAGCCCTTGTCTCCCCCACCAACCTGTCCTCAGACAGATTATCCTGATAAAATGTAAACCAGACCATGTCCCATCTCTGCTCAAACCCTCCAATGGCTCCCACTTCCCTCAGAGTAAAATCTGAAGTCTTCACAGGGTCCCCAAGGCCTGAGATGATCGTCTCCTCCACCCTGCTGTCTCCATCACCTCTGTGGCCACATCTCCCTCCACGACCCCTCGGCTCCAGCCACGCGGGGCTCCTTGCGGCATCTCAGACTCATCCCTTCAGCTCCTTTCAGCTCTTCCAGGCCTTCTCTGGCCACCTCTGTTTCCTGCAGCACCCCAGACCCCCGTCTCCTGTTCTCAACAGCATTGGTCTGTATTGGATGTGGGACATGTTCACCTGTGATCCCTGTGTCTGTCGTCCCTGCAACAATGTCAGATCCATGAGGACCGGGGTTGCCGGCTCTGCTCTTGGTGGCAGCCCCAGGGCCCAGCACATCTCGGGCCCAGAGTTGGCACCGGGTGCACGTTTGCTGCACGTTTGAACAGATGAACAAAAGAAGGAACCAGAACATCATTCTCAGTGGGTGATTCTGCTCTGTTCCCAAGGGGTGGAAGCTGGTTTTGGTAGAAAAAGATTTTATTCTCTTTATGTAAAACACAAAAGAACTTTCTTTGTGCAAAAGTACAGATGTGCGTAGAGTGCATAAACCATCGTACAGCGTTTCTGTGTTATTAGAACTTCACTGGGGGAAGCGAGTAAAAGAAATGTCTAAAAAGGTTGCTTAGGGGTGAAATGCAATAAAAATAGAGAAACACTGAATTAGGGGAAGATCAGTTGAAATTACAGCCTTTTCTCCCACATCTTGCCCAGGCCTTGGTAGGAACCTAGAAGACAAATCAAGATGTGTAAAAGTGTGTGACACAGTCACAGCCATTTTCCCTGGTGTTTAAAGAGATGAGGAATGCCCCATCGCTCTGGGGAAACATTCTTTTTTTCTGCCAAAGGACAGACTTACAAAGGATGATATTTACATTTTCCTGAAGCCTCTAATTTTCTCATTTATCATTTGTCAGCGCCCAGGCCTTGCCGCAGCGTGTGGGATGTTTGCAAACATCTAATGATCCCTTTCACCAAACAAGCCTCAGTCTCCACCAGCAGACGCATTAATGCTGCTGAGGCTGCTAATTTCATGCATTAATGTCACTCTGCGCTGTCACACGGGGGTCTCAGGGCATCCTATCGCCGAGAGCACCGCAGCTTGGAGGGAGCGTCCCCTGAGCTGGTCTAATGCACAGAACCAGGGACGGTCCCAGCGCCGGGTTAGTGAGACAAGCAGAGCGGAGGGACGCCCTACAAGGCGTGGAGGGCGAATGTGGACTGCAGGAGCCAGGGCGGGTTTCTAGAACTCCACCCACGCCGAGGTCACCGGGCCTGCCCCAGGCTTGCTGGACTCGCCCAGCGGGGAGCTCTCAGGAGGGGCTTCAGCCAGCCCGAGGGAGAGGCAGAGGGCTGGGGAAAGCCCAGGGCACAAGGGGGGGCGTCCTGGACCCGCTTTCCCTCCCGCTCCCCTTCAGGCCTCGGTCCTGCCCCCTGCCAGCCGGGCTTAGCCCAGAGCCAGCCTCACTGGGCAGACTCACCCGCCCCAGGCGGGTCCCCGTATCCAGCGGATCCTCCGGTGAGAGTTTGGTCCTGCAGAGTCCCTGGGCTCCTGTGACAGAGGAACCTGGGACATGCAGGGTCCCCCAGACCCTCATCAGGAACCAGCTTAGGCGCGGCACACTGAGAGGCTGCCTGATTCCACGAGCAGAATCTCAGAAAATGAAAAATAACGTTTTAGTTGTTAAACACCCCGAGTCCAGGGCTCTTCCAGAGAGATGGAAAACGTCGTGAGGTTTGGGGTGCAGCATAGGAAAGGGGTTGGGGCGCTTCGTTTTCACAGTAGACTCTGTGACTGTTCCCCGACAAGCCTGGGAGGCTCCTCTTCCCGCAGCGGAGCTGAGACGTGTCACTTTGCACAAACGGGAGCTGGGCCGTGCCCGTCACACGGAGTCCTGACGTCCCGCCTCACTGAGGTCCCACACGGGCTGGGCGAGGACCCGCAGCCTGGAGACGGTTTACAGTGTGCGGAGGGCGAGACGGGGGTGGATGAGGGGAAAAACCGACAAAAGGCTACGCCGTAAACACTGATGTAAAAATGCTTAATTCAGGCAGTCTTCTGACATTTCCCACGTCAGGCCACTTTTCCGCTCTCCCAGCCCGTGGCTTCCTGTGCCACCCCCACTCTGGCGACAGCCACATCCCCTGAACTCTCCAGACCCTGCTCAGGGTGTGAGTTCCACCGTGTCAGCAAATTGGCTGTCCGGGGTCAGGCTGCGGTGGCCTCGCTCAGGGGTGACCTGGCCTTTCAGCAGCGGCTCCTGGCAGGTGACCTGCGGCTGCAGAGAAGCAGGTGCGGGTCCCCGCAGCAACGGTGACGGCCGTGCCGCTCCCTGCAGTCCCATAGCAGCCTCCTTGTCTACGTCCTCGGCCTAAGGAGACCCTGGCGGGGCCTCAGGACTTGGCTGTGTCCTCCTTTCAGCTCAGGTGGTTTCCGTCCCCCACCCGTGGACTCGGTTTGGGAACAAACTTGCCCCCAGAGTGGGGACCACACTGTCGTCACGGCTCACGCTGTGGCTCTCCGGGCCGACGGGTCTTCGTGCGTCGTCTCATGCGGTTCTGACCAGCACGGGAGCCGGTACTGTCATTATTCCCTCTTTGCAGAGGAAGAGGCACAAGTTGAGGAACTTGCCCGAGGTCACAGGAACGGCTGGGTACAGAGCAGACTTTGGCACCAGCAGATTTAAAGATTGAGAAGAAGAGAATTTCAAATCTCAGCAAAAGTGAAGGTCCAAGTCACCGTCTCTTGGGGATGTTCCCTTCCCTCCTCAGAAAGAGCCTGACACGGTCAGTGAAGACTCCGTGTCCCCTCAGACTTGGGGGAGATAAGGACTTGCTTAATCAAGACGGGGTGTTTCCTCTTTCCTGCTGTGTGAGATGGGATGTCACCATGTCACCGTCCACGCTACATCTGGGCCTCTTCTGGGCTGCATTCGGGTCCACAGGGCCAGGGCTTCCTGTGCACGTGCTGGAGTCACACAGCAATTCGGGGTGGCTCAGGGAGCCCCAGTTCACTTCGGGGCCCGTGGTGCTCGGGAATGACCTCTGACCCAAAGCCTGCGGTGGGCGACTGCAGAAACGAAGGCCAGGGCAGGTCTGAGCCAGACCCTGCGGAACAATCAAACCCTTTGTGCGACCCCAGCTGGGAGGGGGGAGGGAGACAGGAGCTTAATTACAGGGTCTGGGACACAGGCCACAGGGAACACATTCAGAGAGTGACCCTGAAGTCACCGCAGGCAGGGCGGGGGCTGGGCCCAGGGCTCAGGACCACATAACAAGGCAGAGTGGCCACTGTGGGGACAGGGCCAGTGTCTGATCACAGCCGAGTCCAGGAGCTCGTGTGAAGCCCCCGCTGGTGGCCTGGCTGGCCCCAACATGTCAGGAGGTGACGCAGCTGAGGACAGTTCTCTTTGCTTTCTGGATGGTTTTCTGGATGGCTGGCTGGTTCACTCGGGCTTGCCTGAGAGGACTGTGGTGGAGGAGAGGAGACAGGATAACAGGGCTCCTGTGGCCGCGGCTCTGCAGTGACGCGTGGATGAGAAGCCAGACGTCCGGCTGTGTACGTCCCTGGAGACGTCCGGACGATGGAGCGAAACGTCACCATGGCTGTAAGCAGAGCTTCTCGCCCTCAGCACTGCGGACACTCTGGGCAGCACAAGCCTGCCGTGGGGACCATCCTGTGCACTGCAGGTGGTGTGGCAGCGTCCTTGGCCTCCGCCCACCAGACGCCAGGAGCAGCCCCCCCCCAGCTGTGACAGCCACAAGTATCTCCAGACACTTCCGAATGTCCTCTGGGGGCAAAGCTGCCCAGCCAGGAGCCACGGCTCTCACGGTCTGTCCCCTGCGCCTGCGGTTCCGGGTTGCTCCTGGCCTATCGATTACGTGTCAGCTGGAGCTTGAATTGGTCGATGGCATCCTCGAGTCTCCGCGCTGGAGTGCAATTATGTGACAGCGTGACTTGCCATCCTGGTCCCGTGGGAGACTAAAGGCAGCAGCGTACGGCAGCAGGCCCAGGGCCTGCCCCCCGGCCTCAGTGTCACTGCCCAGGACGGTCCTCGGCCTCCCTGAGCCATTACAGATGCCGATGCCACAGAACTGGCTCTGCCCGCACTTCACAGGCTCAGCAGACAATTGAAATAAAAACTACGTGTCACTTACAAATTGTTCTTAAAATGGACCATTTCCTGCCGCTTGGGGACCTGCTGCCATTTCTCCTTCAGCATCGACATATGAGACGGCGTCTCTGGGCGTCCATCAATGCTGAGACACTTGAGTGGCCAAGAGCGTCCTGGGTTGAAACCCAAGTCACAACGCTGGGTCTGAACTGCAGGGAAGAATTCATTCCAGAGATGGCGAGAGCAATTTCCAACAACGCTGTGATGCCCTTCCGGGTTGGGACAGGCCTCTCTGGCCACCAAGGCCATCAGCTGGGAGCTCAGCCCCTCATGGCCTCCGCTCCTCCAGCCCAGCGCCGCCCACTCCGCCTGGGGTCCCAGCCAGGAAGGCCCACGAATCTGTTCCTGTGACACAAAGCCAGCGGAGGGCTGATCCAGCGGGATCACAAACATGACATGAAACAGGCTGCAACACTGGCGAGCTGGGGCAGGGGCATTTATCTGTTCTCCCCCCGCCCCCAGCTGCTCTGAGCTCACTCCTGACCCCGCTCAGTCCCACATGCCAACTGCCAGCCCTGGACATGGTTCCCTGGGAGCCACCTGGGGACACCCGAGTCCGCAGTCAGCTCACCTGGAGACACCCGGCACTCTGAATGTGCAGCTCACGGAAGGAGGCCGAGAGCCAAGGTGACGTCTGGGGGTTGTCTGCGCTGTTGTCATTCATTTAATTGTCATTCCGTCTGAGCAGTCTCATTTTCAGAGAGTAATTCCAAAGCGCTTCCAGGATCTTGATCACCTCAGTGTCGTGTTCTTGGTGGGAGACAGCGGCAGCAGAGGCGCCCGCTGTGCTGCTTTTAATTAACTCATCTGATCCTGCAGTAATCTCGGGATCGACACTTGTCCTGGGAGCGAAACGCTCGCTCCTTCCTGTCCCCACGGCCCAGGGTAGGGGGAGCTACTGCAGGGTCTGCCTCGGAGTGGCCCCTGCAGCCGGGTCAGGCTTGTGTCTGCACTTATGGGGACATACGTGTCCTCCCGTCACAGCACTCACGCCCACCTGCTTAGGTTGCGTGTCGGGAGGGGACGTCACAGGCGCGGAGCTGGGGCGGGTGGGCCGGGAGCTGCTGGGGCGCAGAGGCTGGAAGAGAACTTTCCTTCTCCGAGGACGGGCAGAGCTCAAGGCGGCCCCTCAGCCTCACCAGGGTCGGCTTTCTCATCTAGGGACACCTGTCCACGTCTGTGGCCAAGTGGCTTCTCCACTGCAGCCCACGCGGAGACACTGGCATGTCCCTGGCCCCCACGGGACTCTCGCCTCTGTCTCTCCTGGCTCTGAACCAGGAGCCGGGAGAGGCCACGATCACCCATAAATCCCAATAGACATTTTTATAGTTAAATTATTTATAATAAAATGGTTATTTTTTATAGTTAAAATGGTTATAGTTAAAATATTCTCTTCAATATTTTTTATGTGACCAATTTACATGGTATTTATTCTATGTTTGTGTTCTTTACGATGTGGCCTTATGATCTGGGAAAAGAGGATTTTTATGGGGACAACCCTCAGGGACACAGAAATTGGGGCACGCTATGAGCCCCCCACTCGGACAGGGATGTGCTCAGGGTGGGTGGCAAGAGCTGCCACAGCCCCAGTCTGGGTGTGGGTTCGGGAGGACAGTGTCAGGAAGGCCTGGCCGTGGGTTCAGGGGGACAGTGTCAGGAAGGCCTGGCTGTGGGTTCTGGGGGACAATGTCAGGAAGGCCTGGCCGTGGGTTCTGGGGGACAATGTCAGGAAGGCCTGGCCGTGGGTTCTGGGGGACAATGTCAGGAAGGCCTGGCCGTGGGTTCTGGGGGACAATGTCAGGAAGGCCTGGCCGTGGGTTCTGGGGGACAATGTCAGGAAAGCCTGGCCGTGGGTTCTGGGGGACAGTGTCAGGAAGGCCTGGCCGTAGGTTCTGGGGGACAGTGTCAGGAAGGCCTGGCCGTGGGTTCTGGGGGACAGTGTCAGGAAGGCCTGGCCGTGGGTTCAGGGGGACAGTGTCAGGAAGGCCTGGCCGTGGGTTCTGGGGGACAGTGTCAGGAAGGCCTGGCCGTGGGTTCTGGGGGACAGTGTCAGGAAGGCCTGGCCATGGGAACAGAGGGAGCTCCAGGGCAGCCTGTGGGAGCTGAAGGAACATCGGCTGTTTGTTCTCTAAGAGGCCCCTGCGGCGGGAGACCCGCACATGCCCACCGCAGGCTGAGCCAGTCAAGTGCTCAGCGAAGAAAGGAAAGTGAGTGAGCCCGTCTGGGAAGCTCAGTCCCTCCAGGGCAGAAGCATAGGCCCCACCGAGGCCACCCCTGGGTGCTGTCAGAGCCTCGCCCAGCCCAGTGTCTGCCTTGCCCTGAACCTGGGCCAACGGAGGGACCACAGGGCAGGAGGACTCTGGAGAGCCGCAAGGGACTCCCCTGGCCTGAGTGGCGCAGCCCCTCACTAGCACACGGGGCCAGTGGGGCTCAGGGAGGAAAAGTGGCTTTTCCAGGACCCCAGCAGCAGGACCGAGGGCCAGCCCCGACTCCTCCGTCAGCGCTCTGTCCCCGCCTGTAACTGCCCGTCAGGGCCTGGCCTGTGTGGAGCCCTGTAGAAACCTTTCCGTTTCATCCTGACCCTTCAAGGGGAGGCTGGGATCAACCCATCCTACAGATGCGGAACTGAGGCTCAGAGGCAGGTGGGGAGGAGGGCTGGGACCAAACCCGCAGCTGTGAGACTCCGAAGAGCCCGTCACCTCTCCTGCGTGCTCCCCAGACGGGACATTCCACCTGAGACAATCAGCTCTTTCTCACACTAAAAGGAAATAAAAGAAAACGTTAATTGTTGGAATGATTCTCTAATCAGACTTTCAAGGAAACTTCCACGACTTTGAGCGTTCACAGCAACACTAACAGTGAATATCAGCTTCTTGCCCCGACCGGCCTTGCTGAGCACTTTCTGGCATTGGCTTGTTTAACTTCGTCACAGACTCACAGGACAGGATTCGATGTCACAGCCTTGGCCCTGTTTTAAGGGTGTGGAAACCTCAACAGGGAGGTTGTAGTACCGAGGGTCATTGTTCCCAGTTCTTCCCCCTCCCTTCCCCAGATCCGTGTCCTTTGTCACGTGACTGTGTAGCTTTTGCCTCTAGATGTGGAGTCCGCCTCCTTGTCCCGTTACTGCTGGGTTTGGTCACATGACTTGCTTTGGCCAATGGGGCATTAGCTGGTATGATGTCACTGGAGGGTGGAAGGTGCTTGCACAGCTGGCCTGGCCCTCTGTGCTCCTGCCTCCCTCATGAGAGAGCAGGCCTATGGTTGTCACTGTCCAAGGACGAGGAGAGGCATGTGACACAGCAGACCTGGACCCAGCTCTCAGCTTGGAGCCAAGAACGGCCAGGCCTGGCCCAGACGTGATGACCCCAGCAGACCTGTGGATGTGAGAATGAGAAACAGATGCTGTTGTTTGCAACTGAGGTCGGGCGTGGTTGTTATGCAGCACAACTGTGATCAACTGTGCTGATACAAACCCTTCTGACCCAACCCACTGCAGTGCACAGTGGGATCCAAATCCAATGCCCTCAGTGCCATCTTCTCCCCAACACACACTTTCCACTGCGCCCCAAGGATCTTCATATTGGACAGTGGGTTGCTGCCCACCGGGTACTGCTGGCCCGTTCCCAAAGGGCAGCCCAGGCTTTTCGGGTCTAGCTCAGTGGAGCTCCAGCACCGTGTGTGTGCAGAGCTTTTGGCTGCTTGTTTGTTCTATTTTTCTCTAATCAGACGTTCAAAGTTTGATCAAGCCCCTCTAATACAGAGAAAGCCTGTTTGGTTGTCATTACATTCCTTTTCTACTTTTCCAAACTTTCTTTCATGGGCATTCCTCAAACCTGGAGTTGGCATCTTGCTGGTGCCAAGACAATAGCAGGGTGGTTTGTGTCCACTTTGGGTCACCCTGACATCTTCACTGAAGAGAATCCAACTGTGCCCCCTCCTGATCACTGTTCTTGTGGCATTTCTCACTAAAGAACCATCAGCCTCATTGTCACTGTGCATCTTTGGCAGAGGAGGAAGGGAGGACAAAGTTCTGTCTGGCCTATTGGGAATCAAGAGAGAAGGTGACGGGGACTGCCAACCTCTGAGAGCTTCCCCTACAAGGCACTGGTTGGGCTGGGCTGTGTCATCTCAGTTTATGCAGCATAACTGCAGTTATGCTGGCTTTATGGCTCATGACTCCCTAGGACGACAGTATTATTACTACCAGTGGACAGAAGAGGAAAGCAAAGCTCAGAGAGGTTATGTAAGTAGCCTGAGGTCACACACCTACAGAATTATAACAAGAATGATTCAAGGCTTTCTAAACTAAAGATGTTCACACCAGTGTTATTTATAACCACCAAAAGCAAAGAAAAAAGAACAAAATAACAACCCTATTGTCTAGCAATAGAGGACTGTTGAAGCCAGTTATTGTATGTTTATATGATGAAATATTTTGAAGCTATTAAAATTTATGTTTTTGGAGACTGCTTTCTGGCATAAAGAAATATACATGATATAATTTGAAACAAAAATCAAAGCAGGATCTGAAGAGTATACATTGAACCTGAATCCTGATTTTATAAACCAAGTAGACTTTTTATACGTGCATTAAAACTACCAGATAAAGTTGGACTTTATTTTTTCTCCATTTCCTAGGAATACTTTGTAAACTTTATACTGCCTTTTAAATCAGAAAATAAATGAAGATTATTGAATGTAAAAATATAATAATAGTATAGAGCTGCCTTGAGGTGTGACATGTAACTGTCTTTGTAGCTGGGACATTTTTTAGCTTCTCCCTTCTTCCTTGGGAAGCCCCAGGGCAGAGACCCTGTCTTCTTACTGTCTTGCTGGCGCCAGGACTATAATCAAGGCTCCATGAATAATTGATAATGACAAAGACCCCAAAAGGGGCCATTCATTTCAGGTGCCCGCTAACTCCTCAATGCATTCTCTTAAGTGCATTTCATTTGTTTTGAAATATTTTTCAACTGAAATGGATGAAAATTAAAGCCAGAAGAGAGCCGTTGGCTTGCTGGGAGCCAGAAAAAAGAAAAATAAATGAATGAGCTCCGTCCCTGCAGGACCCAGTGTGGAGCCCGGACCTGGGGCATCTGCGGCGTCTGAAAGTTTGTTCCCTCACCCAGCAGTGCTCTGAGGCTCTGCGGTCTGTGGGTCAAAAAAGAGAGGATAATACACTGAAACCGTTCAAAATCATGAATATGACATAAGAAAGGTGACTTGGCGATCAGAGGGAAAGGGCTCTGTTCTGAGTCGCCCACTGGCAGGTGTTTACTGAGCACTCGCTCCTGCCAGGCACAGGGCACAGGGCACAGGAGGGAGGGACGTCCCCGCTCTCAGAGGTTACCTTCCAGGCTAGAGGACAAACACCAGCTATTGACCCAGCACTTGTGTGGCCTGTGGGAGGTGAGAGTTGCTATAAAGAACAGTAGAGGTGAAGGTCAAGGTCATATAGGTGGTCGGGAAGTCCTCTCCAAGGAGGTGAGTGAGCCCTGGGAGGAGCTCCCCAAGCAGTGGGCATAGCATGTGCAAAGGCCCTGGGGCAGGAGAGACCTCAGTGCTCCTTGGTGAGGGATAGCAAGGAGGCCAGTGTGGCTAGCAGTGTGGTTGAGGAGGAGGTGATAGGAGGTGAGGTCACAGGAAATGGGGACTTCATGTCAACCACACACTGCGAGGCTCTGCATCCAGGAGAGGGCTCTGAGTGATGCAGTTAGGAGACCTGTGGCCTGAGGCACTGTGTTCACATGGGCAGGCTCTGGTGGAGAGCCGTGGTTCTCAGGGTGTGGCTCCAGGACCAGCAACATCAGTGTCCCCTGGGGCACTGCCAGAAATGGCAGCTCCATGGTTTTATCAAGACCCACTGAATTGGAACCCCTGAGGGGGCCCAGCTGTGGGAATTGTCACAAGCCCTCCAGGGGGTTTTGATGATGACTAGAGTTTGTGAAAGATGAGCAGAGCTGGAACCCCTGCTCCAGATTTCAACCAGGGGACAGGAGGAGTTTGGGTGGAAATCCAGGGGGCCAATCAGAAGGTGTGTCTCAGAAGGACGGTCACATGGGGCCCAGGCATTTGCTTGTCCCAGGAATGCCATCCAAGGACAGGGAAGATGCTCTGAGAGGCTGGGGGACGGGGTCGAGGGCTGGGGTGTAGACACCCAGCTCTCCCGTGTTGGGGCAGCTCTGCGGTGCGTCCTCTGCACAGATGCCGGGTTGCTCAGTGGGATGAAGTTGGGAAGGGGGTTGCAGCAAAGGGGCAGCGCAGCCAGAGGGGAAACAACGTGGCACAGTCAAGGCCCTGCGTGTAACTGCGCCGGGAAAGGAGGACGATCCTGGGATTCTGGGAGCAAGATGGGCAGTGGCCAAGGAGCGCATCTGCCCGGGAAAGTGGGCCCCAGAGAGGCCTCCAGCACAGGGCTCAGGAAGCTGCTACCCCTTGGGGTTCTTTCTCCAGGGAGCCTCCAGAGCCTGGAGATCCTCGCCAGGAAGGAAGGGCCGCTGTCCGTCCTGCGTGGAGCACAGAGAAGATGAAGAAGCGTCTCTGTCATCTCCGGCTTCTAGCAATCTTGGGCCTAGGGGCGGGAGATGCCCAGATCAGCATGACTTTGAAAAGAAGGTTCCAGAAAAGCCTCCAGTGCTGGCTCTGGACTTACTACTCCAGCAACCCTGAGGCACGAAACCACTCTGGGTTGCAGTGAGCATTTCCCAACATGCAAATGAACTCCCAGGGGTGATGTTTATTTACAGTTGTGCTATTTTTCCTCCTCTGTCCTCTTGACTTTCTCATCATCCCAGTGTAGTCACAGCAGGTTCCCTTGTCCTGTGTCAAGCTCGGTGTAAGGTGCTTCATGTAGGGGGCAGGGTGACAGGGGGACTCTGAGTTCCAAGTGTCTCTGCCCACATTTCTATCCTTCCTCCCTGGCTCAAGGAGGTACCAGTGTGGCGACACCTCATGGCAGGTACTTTCATAGGAAGGAGGCAGAAGCTACTTGAGAAAGACTTAGCTCATTGGGGGGCGGGGGAGGGGGGAGGAGACACAGAGAGAGAGAGAAAGAGAAAGAGAGAAGATTCCTGAAGAAACGAAAGAAGCAATGTTCCCCATGTCCAAGGAGATGTGGCCAAGTGCAGAGGGTGGCTGCAAGGTTCCCACACCTGTACGGGGGAGTTATTTGGATCCTGCAGATGGCTGACTTGCTGACCAGAGATGTGGCCTCGGTTTCTTCTTCTGTAACATCAAGTCTGGCCCTGCGGGGCTCCACCTTGGCTGTGTTTTGGTAACATCTGGGACGATTTAAAAACTCCTATTCCCAAGCCAGATCCCAGCTGTAGCACCTCAGGACCTGTGGCCGCAGCACCAGGCATCAGTCTCCTTAATACCCCTCAGGTGACTTAAGTGTGCAGCCAAGACAGAGAGCATTGACCTAAACTAATTCCTGTTTCTGAGAATCCTGGGACCATGGGACGCTTAGAGCAGGCAGGGCCCTGAGAAATCTCCTGCCCCAACTCCTGCCATTCACCAAGGAGGAAGCTGGTTTTCAGAGAAGTCGAGTCATTTACCTAAGCACACACAGCACAGGAGTGGCAGAGCCATTTGCAATATTCCCCTCCCCCTCTCAACCTCCCTAGAAGGGCAGCCTAAAGCTCTGGATGTCACGGGGAGTTGGGTCTGAGTGGGCCACATGGAATCCCCAATTTCCAGGAAAGAACCCCAAGCCTCCCGGCAGCTCTCGGAGTCAGCCAGTTGCAGTGACCCCAAGGCAACTTCTTGGAGAAAAATTCTAGGTGGCTTGAAATACCCTCCAAGATGTAGAAAAGGGAGATGTGCCTGAGAATTGGAAAAGATTGGGAAATAGACGGCAATTTGGGTTTTGTGGCTTTTTTTTCTGAAAAGGAAATAAACATGGCAGAATTGCCTTCACTGAGAGAACATCTGGGTTTCATAAACAGACCATAAAGTGGCAACAGAAGATCCAGAACAGCCCCAAATCAGCATCTGTCCCTGTCATCTGGCTCTACCTCCATCCCAGTCCTTCTGTGTCACCCGGCTCACCACACGGGGAAGCATTCTTGCCTTTTGGAAGGAGGACCCTCCCCTCCTCCCCCAGATACTTGTCTCTTGGCCCCGCCCACACCTGGAGGAGGCGGTACCTGATTGGTGGGAAGATGAGACTCTGGGCTCCATCCAGTGGGCAAACGGTCACGAGTCAGGATGCTTTAGGCAGCAAGTGACAGACTATCAGCTAGAAGTGGCTTCTGCCCTTGCTGCCCAACGTGGGGTCCACGGATCAGCAAGGCCAGCACCAACGGTTTGTTAGAAGTTTGGAATCTTAGGTTCTACCTTAGACCTACCCAATAAGAACAAGCATTTCCCACGAGGAACCCGGGTGACTCACGCGCTCAGTAAAGTTTCAGAGGCAACAACGTAAGTTGGAAAAGGCACGTGTTAACTCGTTTAACAAGAAGCCGTGAAAAGGCAACTCATGTGGTTTACTCGGTAGCTCCAGGACGTCAGACCTCGGTCTCCGCACCTCTGAGGTGCTCTGGCCTCACCCCGGGTTCAAGCCGGCTGCCATGGCGCGAGCGTCGCCAACCGTGACCAAGCGGAGGAGGAAGGAGAGCGGGACCGTTGTCCTCCTGTATGGAGGGGAAATCTTCCCCAGAAGCCTCCAGTGGCTGTCCCTTAGGTCCCATTGGCTAGATCTTGATGCCACGCCTACTCTTAAACCAATCACAAGCAAAGGGAATGAGGATTACCGTGATAGGCTCTTGAACCATTGACCAATCACGTTGCTCCCCTTGGGCCTCGGACAGGCCCCTTCCCCCAGCGGGTCGTTTTCTGCCTGAGGGAGCGGAACGGCCGCGCTGTGTCGTCAGGGAAGAAGGGAGAACGGTCCTCAGCGTCTGCCCCGAACCTGGCTGTGTCCCCCCACCCTCTCTGCCATCAGAGCGCGACACAGCGCGGCCCTCCACTCGCGGGGCTGTCCGCCTGCTTGGCCGGCCCGGCTCCCCACAGACAGGGCCCGGCGCTAGACGGCGGAGCAGGAAGGCAGAGAAAGATGCAGGCACGGACCCTGCCCACCTTCGAGTGCGCGCTCGGAGACCCACTCCGGATTCCTTGATTTAGTGTTTTTGAAGAAATGTATGGGAAGGGAATGTAGGAAGATTAAACGTGAGGAGGCAGATTCAGGGGCTGGGCGCCATCAGGGCACCTCCTGGGTCCCTGAGCCGCCATCATGGCGGTTCCACGCCAGCCTGTGGGCCTCGTGTCACTGTCCACGGTTCAGATCCGCAGGGGAGGAAAGGACTGCTCTGTCTTGGCCGCATGTTAACCCCTGCACTGGGGAGGGGGTTGCAGTTTGACTGAAAGTCCCTCCTTCACCACACTGGAAGGAACGGGAGTCTCTCAGTGGACGCCTGAGGACCCGTCGTCGGAAGAAGAAGAGCACGCCAGCAGAGCAACCGCACATGCCCTCCCAGAATCCTACCTGCACCACGCCCCTCCAGCCCAGCCAGCCTGCCCCCACCCAAACATCCCTCCCTCCTCGTCCTTGCTTGTGCTGGGATCCCTCCTGGAAGGCCCCTCTCCCTGTCTGCCCCTCGACTTTCATCGTCCTTCAAGACCCAGGTAAGCCACTCCCCTCCCCCAGTAAGCACCAGCCATTGCTGTTGCACCGTTTCAAGGTTTCTCAGTCTCGGCACTGTTGACATTTTGAGCTGGTTGACTCTGTTGTGGGGCTGTCCTGTGCATCTTAGGCTGTTTAGCAGCCTCCCTGGCCTCTACTCAGTAGCAGCCAGTAACACTCCTACCCAGTCATGCCAACCAAAACTGTCCAGACAGATACGAGTGTGTACCCTGGAGGAAAAAATGGCCCCTGGTTGAGAGCCACTCCTTTTCTGAACCTGAGTCACTAAGATTTACTGCCATAGCAACTTAATTACATGGTGATGTTCATTTAACTTTTCAGAACTGCCTATTGCCTTCACAGACACACTGTCACCAGCCAGGAGAGCAGCCACTTTGATCCCCCCATACTGAGTCACCTCCCACGCTGTGCACAGATGGCTCAGTGCACAGGGGCACAGCAGGGCATACATTTGGGCTTGATGGCTTTGAAGCCTCTGCTGGTCTTGGAGGCTCACAGGTTGGTACCACACCTGGATGCAATGCCAAGGCCCTGAGGCAGGATGGTCCTTAGGTACATGGTAAATTAAGTAAGCAGAAGGTGGTTAGCCTGAGGCTGCCTCCTTATTTTAAGTTTCTATCTAACAAGCCACAACCTAACTTAGTAAGTAAAACTGAAAGCTAATTTAGGAGTATATGTTTTCTAAAAAAATAGCCAGGTTTCAGCCAACCACAGGCAGCCAACTCATCACACCATGCCCAAACCCAGCAGATGCCCCAGGTGATTTTTCTACATTGTTTCCATGTTCAGCCCTGCAGCTCACACTACTGGACAGAGCTCTCCGATCCTCTTCTGGTTCTGAGTGCCGCTCTATTCATGAAGTGTTTTTTGCTCAAATAAACTGTGTTAAATTTACTTTATCTAAAGTTTTTCTTTTAACGTACTCAAGATGCCAGTGCTGGCTGCAGAGCCCATCGGAGTTCTCAATGGATCCGGTGGGAACCAAGGCCTCCTGTGACCTTGGAACAGTGACAGCTGCCCTCTCCCACCCTCTGGGCTCCAGGCACTGTTCACTGCAGCTCTCTGCATGCACTGGCTCATTCATAATGAATTAGATACTAGTGTCAGTTTTCAGAGATCAGGAAACTGAGTCAGAGCATTCCAATGTCCTAAGCACACTCAGAGTGAGTAGGTGGCAGAGCTGGCTTTGTCCTGAGGGGTCTGAGTCTAGAGGCAGGGATCATAGCTACAGTTTTCACAGGGCACCACAGCACACAGTCCTCTTGGGCCATGTTCTCCATGTAGCATGTCACTTGTAGGAAATGAAGGCGTTTCCCATCCTTCGCCTCTGTCCAACGTTAACTCATCTGCTATTTAGCACAAAGCCTTTATTAAATTAGAGCTAGTAATTTAATGGAAGCATTACTTTACTCAGTCATCCTGACAGTGATAAGATCTGCATTTTGCTCATTGCTGGATCTCAGAATCTAGCAGAGTTGTTGGTGCATGGCAGGAGCTCATCATTATCTGCCTCATTTAATTGAATTGCGTTCTGATTCTTTGTAACTTCATCACACCTAACGGTGTTTTGCACAGAATAGTCACTCAAAAAATACTTGTTGAATGACTATATGATTGATCAATTAGTCACTTTTCAATTGAGCAGTTTCCATTGTCCTTACAAGTGAATAAAGTAAAATGACTACAAAAGTGCTTTTATTACTGCACATTGATTGCCCCAATTAAATGGTTCTCTAAGCTTCAGAGAGCACAATGATTCAGCTCATCTGATTTTAAGCTCAGGTCTTTTCAGTTTTGATACATATAGTTTTAGGAGCCTGTGAAATGTGTAATGTGGATGCTCTAAAACCATAATACTGGTGGCCAATTAAAAAAATTCTTAAGGAAATGTATGTCCTTTAGAGATGAGTGAAAGATCTGGATTGGGACTCAGAAGAGTCAGTTTTAGGGAATTTGTTTCAGGGAGGCCACGAAAGAGAGACAAGCTGAGAAACCAAGTTGGATGTGACACCCTAAGAGACTCGATGAATGGAGCAGAGTCCAGTACAGTGTGCAGTACCTGTCCCAGAGGGGCTGCCCGTTCCCCGACAATTGGCAACTGTTACTACAAATGTGTTATGGGACAAGGAGGAAGATTGCCTGCAGCCCTTAGAGAATAGGACAGTTGTCCTCTTGACTTCCACACAATCCTGCTGCCAAGCAATGCTTTAGAATTCATCAGAAGGCTGTGACTTGATAGTAAGGGGAATGAGAGGTGGGGAGCAGGGGAAGGAAAGTGGGCCTGTGGCTTTTACCCTGAGCACATTCTCCTAAGAGGGTACCTTAGCAATAATCTTTGAATGTGTGCCGGGATATATGTGCACATATATGTGTATGTGTTCTTGTGGAGTATGTACTGGGGTGTGTGCAAATGTGCATGTATGCTGGAGTGTGTATGTGCTGGGGTATGTGTGCCTATGTGTACATGCGTGTGTTTGCGTGTAAGCATGTACTGGGTTGTGTGTGTGTGTGTGTGTGTGTGTGTGTGCATGTGCTGGGGAGGGGTGTGTGCATGCATGTGCATATGCATTTTACCTCCTCTGTTACCATGAGGACCCTAGAGGCCAGGCCTCTGCATCCATTTCCTCTGTGAGTCCTACAGTCGCCATCCCCAGGAGGCAGCCATATCTGGGTAACCCAGGAGTGCAGGAAGACCAGCTAGAAGCAGGGCCAATTACTTTTTCAAGTCTAGACCATCCAAATCAGCTGAGGGAGAAATATTTCATCATGAAAACACTTAGTAATCTGAAAATGGGTCTACAGCAAGATCATTCCTTTCACCACTGTGATTGGTTCAGGGGTGAGCACATAACCCAAGGGTGAGCCAATGAACGTGCAGTATTCCCCTTGGCCACTGGAATTGGTCAGAACTGGGCATGGGACTGCATTGGTCCAATCAGAGAGAAGATAGGACTTTTGATAAAGGGATGGTTGGGAATGCAAACTTTTTCCCATCTGGAACTTGGGGGATGCAGACAGCAGTCTGGGCCAGTGACAGCCATTATGTGACCATGAGGAAAGCCAGTGGGAATGAAGGCTCCAGAGTTGAGGATACAGGAAAACAAACCAGGAAATGGAGCCCAAAGCCGAGCGAACTTGCCTGAGCTCTCCCCACACAGCTGCAGAAACCAATACATTCATTCCCTTTAACATTTAGTTCAGTTTGACTTCTGTTGCTGCTATTTGCAACCCCAGATGTGCTGAGTGACGCACTGCTTATCCCTGCAGTGTTCAAAGAGAGAGAGGGACTGAGAAGGCTCCAGGGAGGTTGAAATGGAATTTTTGTTGTGAGTTGAAGAGTCGGCTAAACACTTGATAAGTTTTCTTCCAACTCAATGATGTGAAAAATGCCATTTGCCCACTGGAAAAATCTGTGTGTGTGTGTGTGTGTGTGTGTGTGTGTGTCTGTGAACATGTTTTCTAACTCAAACTGGCCATTTTGGTATACACAGAAAGGACATTGTAATTATATATTTACGTGCATATTTAAGAAGATATTAAAAGGGGGAAAATACAGAAAATTCCTTAAAGGAATAGAAGGAATAATAGTGTGGTTTGCAAACCACAGCCAAGCTGGCGGGGAGAGAAGCTCAGGCATGTCTTGTTACCTGAAGTTTCCGCAGATGTGGGGGGGACTGAGCATTCCGGGAACGATGGGCCGCCTCTGGCTGCAGGACGGGGTGCCGGGCTCTGCAGGGAAGCTCAGGGCTCCTGCGGACCAGAGAAACGACTTGGCCAAGAGATGTAGGAGGCAGAGCACATGCTTCAATATCTCCACCTTACTGCCTTTA